AAAAATGGGTTCTCTCAGATGCATCCCGGGTAGTTTTTTAAATCGTTGAATTAACTAATTTGAAATGGTCTCACAACTAAATAAAGTGCGTTAATTTAACCAAAAATATTGGTCATTCTTACTTAAAAAAAACTGGTCAAAACTACCATTTACTAATAGTTAAAACAACATAAATATTGAACTGAAAACAACCAAACAAAAAGGTCAAAATAACCCTGTTGATATTCATTTTAACTGCTATTAAACTAGTTTTTTCAAATGAAAAAAATCCAGTTATTTCTCAGAGAAACTGTATCGCCACCTTAAAGAATGGTATTAACTCCGCGAAAAACTCATGCTCTTTCAAAGGACTCCAGAACGCCTTTTTGAGTTAGACTGGCCCTCAAATGTTTCTTTACCATAAGTTTAACATGTGCGTATACTGCGCCCATTAGTTTCTTTTCAAAGCGTCTAGTAAGTGAATAAAAGCATTATCCAGCTTCATTTACTAATTGTTGTTCCCTATACTGCTTTCTAGCGGCTCAAGTTCCGTTTACTCACTGACAGGAGATTTTTGAAGCGATTTCTTAGCGACTTTATGAGAAGCGATTTTCCAATCCACTTTATTCAGCGATTGCTGAAGGGCGCGTCTAATCTTAACGGTAATCCGGCACCAAGAGTGTGTTTTTGGTAAAAGACTCGCCCAGAAAATCGCTGATAAATCGCATTAAAATTCCAGCAGGTTCAAAACAGCGACAGTTTCACAGCGTAGACAACGTGCGCGCGATGCCCATAAACATTGTGGCAAAAATTTTGGCGAAAAAACTATGATAGGACTACCTACTCATGAAAGAGCTCCTGCAAATGACGTGGTCGCTCTGTATGGCCTTCAATAAAGTAATGATAAAGAAAACAGCTTGGCTATAACAATTTCTACAGCAATATTCTCCTGTTGCAATCGTGAAGGATACCGACTGCAAAATGAAACATCTATTTACGCACTGCAAAAGTCATTGCCTGGTCAAGGATTTATTTTGAGATTGAAAACACCTCTTAATAACTTGGGTTAATTATATGCGTTTGAAGTGGAAGCGAACCATTGTATCAAGTAAAAATAACATTTAATTAGCTCCTAATTGAGTTCTAATTAAAAAAGAAACAAACAAAAGTATTAACTGTATGTTTTTGTTTGTCTTTTTAAATTAGGTTTATTTGCGGTTTTAACAAGCGATATTTTTAACTGGGAAAAACATGTGGAAAACAAGCTATCGTTCAACGCAAGAGTCAGAAGATGGTTTGGTCGATGCTAATCCGAGGGTTGCTAGACCAGAGTAATCCTAACATATATTGGTGCAAAGCAATACAGTACCGCAGTGCATTGTAATGTAAAACACATGAATAAATAACGTGAATATTCTACTCCTCTTGGAAGTATTAGGATTTTTTCTTCCGTGCCGCCTCCGGGAATTCGTTGTCGGGGTGTGCAGCCCGGTTCTCTAAATCCTGACCCTATTTGAGACAAAAAAATTGACATTTTCCACACCCATGGCCTCTAAAATCCAAACCCGTTTTCAGACCTAGCGTAGGAAGAAATAATGAAATCATTACTAAGATAAGAACGCCAACAAAAATATTTCTTTAAATCCATTTCGAATTCGCATATTGACTCTTTCTTATTCATTTGGAATTGAAACGACAAATACATTCACCGCAGCCACGAAAACCAAAACGGCTAAAAAACCATACCGTTTGGGGGCGGCACATGGCCTTAAGGCAAATATAAGGGAGTACCCCCCCCCCCTCCCCCCCACTCCGGGAGCTGCCTGTGTCACCGACTGATAAACATCTTTCTGTATCATAAACATCGCCTTTTTGGCCGTTTTTGCTTCTTGAGTGGACTTGGTACGCATACTATACCTTCCAATTTTAAGTAGTAAAAACTAGCAGAGAGGGCCAGAGAGGTAATATAACAAATTTTATTACTCTTCTGAAATGCACGACGAAAGGGCGAAGGATGGACAACTTAGAAACTGACTTTGGGCTGAATGACACCGTATTTCCTCAAATAAAAGCCCAACCCTTCAAAAATCAGTCGCATCCCTTTGTTGCAAATAAGTGAAATGATCACCTTCGAAGGACTTTTGAGCGACATCGAATCAATAAATCAAAGAGATCTCTGGTCTGTCGCAATTTTGTTCCTACTAACCGGGACTGGACACAAGGAATTATCGATCTGAGACAATACTGAGGAATGTGTTTGATCAAAACCAAATTGCGAGATTTTATTGATTATATAGCAATACCAATTTAGGAAATAAAGACCGTGATTGCTTAGTTTCGATACTAAAACGGACAATAGCAGTCATGCATTTCACAGCCAGCTAGACGTGCGATGGACGCAGTAAAACATACGGGGCGGTCCGGGGTGGTGGGATAGTCACCTCTCTGAATTAACAACATCATAATTTAAAATTCTAGCGAACGAAATGAATGCATTTATACTAGTCCTAGGCTGTTTTCGGCGGGGAAAAAAGGAGATATATACAATCGTCAAATTTGAACTGAACAACAATAACAAAAAAGAAACAAATATGTGAATTGAACAAATGTCAAATTTAAGTTGACAACAATTGTTGGTAGGTCCTTGAATTTTTTTATTTTTGTGATTTTTTTACCCAGGCTCACAAAAATCACATCAACAAACCATAAACCTCGAGATAATCAAAAAGGAGACCGGAAAGAAATAAATCCGGTTCATCGGTACGAAACGAAAAGTCAACTGTGTGAAAGTGAACATGATCTTGGCAGTAGAATGAACAACCGAAGCGGTTGAAAAAGACCCTAAAAAAAATTTCAGCTTGACCGGGAATCAACCCCTGACCTTTGTGCCGAACGGACTCAATTTTCTATCCATTAACCTAAATAAGCCAACAGGAGAGCAAGCGATTGTGAGTTCGTAATAAACTTAATGGTGGAAATGACATGAACTGAAATATATTAAAAGATTGTGAACTGTCTCACAAGATAATAAGAAGGAAATTAAGTAAAACTAAAGTACATTGAACCCGCTCGAAAGAAAACAAAGCCCAAACAAGCTGTACTGAACAAATCATATGCCTAACAGATTGGTAAAAAAAAATAATGCCAAGTACAGTGGAAGCTTTCCGAACGGACACTTTCCTAAGCGAACAGTTCTACAAACGGCCGCCCTCACGTGCCCTCACAAACCAGTTTTTGTATTTTTACATTCCCGTAAGCGGCCAGCTCCAGTTAGGGGCATCTTTTTCGCGTCCCGAGGGTGTCCCCTACGAGAGCTTCCACTGTATATCACATGCTAGATTGATTTGAGAGCTCGTAACCCAAAGTAATTCTGATACCTCTATCGCCTGATCTTACACCACAATCAACATCTGCTCTTGTTCAAACAACCTCGATTTATCTGAGGATAAATGAACTATACCCCGACATCTGCTGAAAACTTTTTTCATTGGCTGGTGAGGCGATATGAAGCCTTAAGTTTAAGACGAATTACGTCAAAGGAACTATCTTGAATTTGTATGCCACTAAAGGATCTGAATCTTTTTTCTTTGTTCATTTGTGTTTTGCCGCCACTTCCCATTAATTTTGTAAACAGGCCTTCAGGTTTTTATTCACCACTCAGTTGGGCGGGATCCAGGACTTTTTGTTAACTTATGCCGATAATTTTCTGTCAACCCTTCCTCGCCGTTACCATCCGTTCTTCAAAGTAGACCCTCGCTGTCACGACCGCCCAGTGCATGCGGCATTTCACACAGTTTTGAATAAGTGGTGAAATAACGTTATGTAGATTTTGTCAATTTAAATAAGCCCAAAGGTTGAAAAGCAACGTGAAAAGAAAGTTTTATTTCTAAGCTACGAGTTGAAAGTCGTATGGGACTCTTCTCTATATTTTAGTTTCAAAGCAATCCCCCGGTCTGGTAAATATATTCAGTGTAGTGGAGTTCGGACTCCTCCGAACTTCCCTTTGGAACCGCCACCCGGAATCAACTCGGCCTTCAATAGCGCAATGCGTCATGAGAAGGACACAATATAACTTGTTTGTTTCCAAGGTAATCTGGAGCCCTTTTCTCGAAAGTCCCGATGGATTTTCGGGCCCGGAAAGTTGTTTTACCGGTTGGCCGTGTTTGCATTCAAGATCAAAGTTTCAATAATTCTGAAAATGATACAATGAAACTATCAGTTAACGAAGTAAAATTGACTGGCTTGTGAGCTAGGAACTGTGATACTATTCAACTGGTCTTGATTTTAAAATTTGCCTTCTGGTCTGAAAAGTTTCCTAGCCTTTCTCGGAGAAACAGGCCCCTGGCCAGTAGGTGGCACGTTTGGACCTAGTTGTTCGTTGAATAAATTTTCAAGTTTTATATTCACACAATGATTATCCTCTCTTGTTACAAAGTGCCCCAATTGTAAACAAATGTTAATACAAAAAAGAAATTTTTGAGGGAGTAAAAGACTGAATTTATTCGTACACAGCTACCTAGTCTGCCCCATGACAGAGATATTTATTTCTTTATTGAATCATCGTATCTGCCTAGCTTATTATTCCAATGGTTCATTTGGGTGTTGTTTGATGGAGGCTGAAGGCTTTTATAATTTTTGGCCGCGTAATAGACTTGAGGCTTATTAGAGGCAGGGGATAGTTAGGAGAAACACAAGATATTCGTGATGTTATTTGGGTTTTACCGTAGCAGTTCAGATATATGACAAAACACCGCAGTTATCGTCAACGGAAAAGCCATCTATTAAATGTCTTTCTTTTTCAATCTTCGCGCTAAGAAGCTCTTAGAGACCTAAGACGTTAAGGGACCTCACCTACTAAGTGGCGAGGCAATAATATGATCAGCAACCTTACTGACAGCAGTCCCCCGGCCTCGTTCATTTGCCATACAGTTATGGAAAACTAAAAAAAAAAGGCTTTAACTCGCACTAGCCATTTCAAACGTTTTCTTTCCCTTCTGTTGTTATAATAACACTGTATTGCACGTTGCTTAATGTCTTTGATTCAGGTAGATCTTTTTTCCATAGACAGCCAAACAAAATCCTTAAGAATTCCCAGTGACTTTTGCTATCTTGTCTCCTCTTTAAAAGCTTTCTAAGCTTAAGGTCGCTGTCTTCCTTTCTCTTTGTGGATACTCGAGGGACAAAAAACATGAGGAATGCTGCAATTAGTGATATACCACCACAAGCGTAGAATGCTCCAGCGTAATCTCCAAACACATCGTACATCCATCCTGGAAAGAAATCATTCCAAAAGAGCTGGAATTAATTAGCCACCGGGGCGTCTTTGTTAGTTTTTTATTGCTTCAGGAAGGGGTACTCATTCGAGATAATTTACTAAAAATGAATAAGTAAAAAAAATTAGAGTTAAGTAGTGGAGAAAAGTCTTCTGTTTTGGTACTATTTTCAAGGTTAAAGAAAGGTTCTGCTTGCAGAGTGTAGCCTAGCCGAGAAAACAGCTGACATTTCCCCGACGCTACCACCGGTTTCCCGCGAAATGGCGTCTGTAAAACGACTGGCCATGCAGAAATTCCATAGTGATGACGTGTCACTACCCAGATTTAAGTGACTAGTGCTTCTGATTGGTTGAAGCAAATTTCGCTCGCGGCACGATAGAACAGAAGCATAACCCCAGATCTGGGTAGTAACACGTCATCAGTATGGAATTTCTTCTGCGCTCGTTTCTCAGACGTCATTTCGCGGGGAAACCAATGGCGGCGTCGCGAAAATGTCGGCTGTTTTTCTCAAGTTTGGTGTTGCTACATGAACTTGCACTCCCTCGAGTGGCTATTTTTTTTGAAGTCCCAGTTGTTCCCATGCATGAAACAGCTGCCAAAAAGCTTTTTTACTTATACGAGAAAGTGTACAAACCTGCAATAGGAGGTCCTAAAAACATCGGGAAAGCCATCACTGTGAAAGCGCTTCCAAGAGCATAGGACATCTTGTTTGGGCCAACGATGTCATTTGTGACCAGCGGAATTAAGAGCACATAGCATGCTTCAAAGAAGCCGAAGGTAACAGCATAAGCTGTCAGTCCTACGTAACCTGTTGCCAAGGGAACAAGGAAAGAGCATATTCCGATCATGAAGACCCCCATCTGATACATACGGATTCTGTTGACACATGAAAGATCGGCCATTTTGCCGAAAAATAGACGGCCCGCCGTCGACGCCACGGATAAGTATCCGATCAAAAACGAAGCATCTGTCGGGGAGACACCGAGGTCTTCAGCGTGTCTGACCTAAAAATCAAAAGTATAATTTAGTCCCGTCGCACAAATTTTCACTCTCATCTGAAAACGGATCAAGCTACTGAGCTCCTTCCACAGCTTATCGCTCCCTGACGCGCCTCTTCAGATTTCATTTTCTTCGTAGAGGAAACGTTTCTGAAGTGTTTTCCAGCACGAATAGAGTTCTGCTTTCTCCGGATGGGATAATTAGCCCTTTCCCTTCTTTTATTACGTTGTTTTAGCTACGGTTTACTTAAACACAACTAATAATCCACTTACCAGGTGAACGAAAGGTACAAAGTATCCAAGCTGAAATGTTGCTAAAGATATCACCCAAATAACATATCCTCTATTCTTGAAAATGCTCCATTCAAATATCCTCCTTGCCCCTCTTCCCTTAGGACTGTCGTGGTGCTGCGAGTACTTGGTTGGAACCGGGCGAAACGTTGCTCCGCATAATAACACCAGAATGAATATTCCTGCCACAATGCGAAACGTGTCCGCCACGCCGAAACGAAGAAACAAGGCCTGCACACTGGGTCCCATCACCAATGTCCCAACTCCACTTCCGGCCGTTACCAGGCCGTTCACGACTGCTATGCGCCTTTTGAAGTATTTGGAGAGAACTATAATGGTGGGAAAGTAGCAGAGGCTTGTCCCCGTCCCAAACATCAGGCCATAGGTGAAATAAAAAGGAAAAAGAGTGGTAACTATTGAGGAGAGTAGCAGTCCTGCTATGCAAATGAGAACTCCGCAGATGCTAACAATTCTGCAGCCACACCTTTCACAAAGGGAGGTGGTCAAAGGCCCCAGAAAGAACATGATACCAGTCGCTAGGGACCCGACCCATGCTGTGGATAAAAAAGGAGGGACATCAAATGAATAAATAATTATAAATTTTGATTTACAGGTAGCATATTCATGTATGGGGTCTTCGTCTACCATTCTGGATCGAATGGGGATCTCTCAATGATGGTTTTTGAGGAGAGGGGAGAAACGAAGTAAGGTCTGAAAAAACTCTCAGAGCAGAGAAGAGAACTGACAACGAACTCCTTCGTCTGATTTGAACCCAGGCCACGTTTTGTGAGATGTGAGATGTGGTCTTCCCACCACAGGTTATTTTTTTCCTCAGAATAATTGAACTTTTGGTGTCATTTCACTAGCGGGACATCACATGCTCGTTCACAGGGTCCTCTCCGGCCTTCTCGGATAGAAGTTGACCGTGGGAACGAGGTTGCGCGGTATAAGGCTCACCTGTAGCTCCTCTTGGAGACTTCAACTCCTTTACAAGCTCCGTGTAAACAATACCCGCCGTGTTTTGCATTCCAAGCACAATAAATTGAGCAAGAAATGCACCAAGACAAACGACCCAGCCCCATCCTCCGTCGGGATGCGTTTTAGCCACAATGTGAAACTGTTGATTGCTGGTGGCAGCCATGCTTCTGTCTGATGGCTTTCTTTTCCACTTATCATTTAAACTTGTTTTTCCGGTCTCTGTAGAGTAGCTTGTGACGTCAGCTAAACAGTGTTCGTTCTCATTTTCTTTCTCCCCTGGGGGTTCTTTTTGCAGCGAGATGCCGGCGTTTGGTTGTCTTGGAAACATCAAAGGTACGTCAAACAATGTGGGATTTATCTCGCAATTGTCATCCACAGTTCTTTGCGTATTGATTGAAGTAGTCCTCGCTTTGAGAAATGAATCTTTCCTTGTGCAAGCTGCATCTGATGCTGAATTCATACCGTATTTTTCCGTGTTCGATATACCCGACTTTGTTAGTTCTAAAAGAGCTTGTTTATTTATACAACAAGAAGCATTCTCCTCCTCCTCTGTATTAACTTCATTGTCTAAATTCAACGCCGAGTTTGTCAATTTGAGAGTTTCAATCTCATTCTGTGTAACCTGTTGTTCTGTAATCACCATCTTCTGATTTTCAAACTCAAGGAAAACGTTTTGCTTTGGGGAACCACGCTCAAAATGGGTTTCATTGTCAACGTCCGTTCCGGAAAAATTTTCAGCGTTTGGTCCTTCCTCAAAATCTTTACAGTTTATATTTTTCCACCTTTCCTCGCCTCCTTTCAAGGTCGTTTTCCTTACACACACGATATCAAGATCTGGATCCTCTTCTTCCGTAATCTGTACGATAGAAATTTTCTGACCAAAGCAGGGGTCTTTTTTATGTAGATCTGACCAATCACGCGTTATGTTATTTTTATTCTTCGCAGTCTGCTGTGTATTAGAGGAATTAACCAGTAGTTCACTATTTGAAACATCCTTCCCTACATCGTTTGACGTAGCTTTTACCATAGCTCCTAAACTGATCCCTTCTGCGGATGATGTGTCGGATTTGAAAAGTGGCAGCTGATATTCCGTGTTCGNTGTCATCCACAGTTCTTTGCGTATTGATTGAAGTAGTCCTCGCTTTGAGAAATGAATCTTTCCTTGTGCAAGCTGCATCTGATGCTGAATTCATACCGTATTTTTCCGTGTTCGATATACCCGACTTTGTTAGTTCTAAAAGAGCTTGTTTATTTATACAACAAGAAGCATTCTCCTCCTCCTCTGTATTAACTTCATTGTCTAAATTCAACGCCGAGTTTGTCAATTTGAGAGTTTCAATCTCATTCTGTGTAACCTGTTGTTCTGTAATCACCATCTTCTGATTTTCAAACTCAACGAAAACGTTTTGCTTTGGGGAACCACGCTTAAAATAGGTTTCATTGTCAACGTCCGTTCCGGAAAAATTTTCAGCGTTTGGTCCTTCCTCAAAATCTTTACAGTTTATATTTTTCCACCTTTCCTCGCCTCCATTCAAGGTCGTTTTGCTTACACACACGATATCAAGATCTGGATCCTCTTCTTCCCTAATCCGTACGTTAGAAATTTTCTGACCAAAGCAGGGGTCTTTTTTATGTAGATCTGACCAATCACGCGTTATGTTATTTTCATTCTTCGCAGTCTGCTGTGTATTAGAGGAATTAACCAGTAGTTCACTATTTGAAACATCCTTCCCTACATCGTTTGACGTAGCTTTTACCATAGCTCCTAAACTGATCCCTTCTGCGGATGATGTGTCGGATTTGAAAAGTGGCAGCTGATATTCCGTGTTCGTACCGGCGCAAGCGCATACATTCTCTTGTCCAAGGAACGTCTTCTCTTTGTTCCTCTCATTGTTCTCTGGCATTCCCTTGGGAGTAGCTGCTCACGCGTAGTGTAAAACAAGCAAGCGAAAGCTCGATGAGTCGAACTGTGAAAGTCCAAGATGAAAGCCGCTCGTCTGAAGCTTTAAATGATTCATTTATTGCTCAGGAAGGCGGTTTCATCCTGCAAGGAAAAGTAAACCAATGAATCTGTCGATAAATTTTGGCTAACGACTTATCACTTATAAGTTATTCGTAGCAGGCAAAGACAATCCAACGAATCAACACATTATCATAAATATCATATCATAAATATCATCATCATCATCATCAACTTCATCATCATCAACAATAACATGATCATCGTCATTGTCACCACGCCATCACCATCATCATTGTCCATTACGACCAGTGGAACCAGCGGGCTTTGACTCTTTAAGCCCTACTTTCCAGTCTCCGCATACAAATTCTCCATAGACTGATTTCCGTAAAGAATTAGTTGAGAGAATTTGATAACAGATCGAAACATCTTATTTTAGGTAATTCTCATAACCTTTTTTTAATCATGTTTTGATATTGTCGAGAGAAAATTGATACCGTTTTTATTTTCTAACGAAAATGTTGTGTTGCGTCCGAGTGGGGGCGAATCACAAATAGTTTGTATTATCAACTGAATTGATTAAGGGACGGACCATTAGAAAAGTTAGGGGGGTGGGGAATTTTCGAGCCGCAGGAATTTTTTTTCGTCATCAAACTCCTTGTATGAATTTTTTTAGGCCATAGCATGAATACTTTTTAGGGTTAATTGGCGTCCATGAATTTTTTTCATTTAATTTTCCCTTGCGCGAATATTTTTTTTTGTACTTCGCCCCCCCCCCTCCCCCCCAAATAAGTTTCCTAATTCGTCCGTCCCTAGGTCAATTATCACTGTGAAAAGATTAAAAAGCCGACATTTTGAGCGTTAACGCTAAAAGTGAAAAGGGAAGTAAGAGGTGAACGCCTAAATCCTCTTCCTTTCCATCTTCAATGTTTACGGTGGCAAAGTCCTGTGTGGCAGGCGACGGTAAGGTTTTTTTGGTATTTTTTTTTATATAGAGCGCGCGTGTCCTCGATATTTCTCCTTTCACCCTAAATAAAGCCGGCGCCTGCTACGTAGACTAATGGCAAACTGACTTGATCAAGTTAGTGGACGAAACCCAATTTTCGAGGTTTGGTCCGGGAAACTTTAGAATATAAAAGAGGGAAGACATGAACCGGATGACACTGGGATAAACATGAACTAATGGGACGGATTGAGATAACGAAAGAAAACGTAACAGATGGGAAAGCGTGGTAGGTAATACAGGAGGCGACGTTAAAACAATTAAAATGAAACAGGTAGTGAAAGGCATAGGACAACTCGAAAAAGAACCCATGCCTAGCAAATATAATCGATCAAAACTTTGCATTCGAACAGCAATTAACTTTTCAAACTCATTATGTTGTAACTACGTCACAGTGTGATAAAAAAATATATTCCCACTATTACTGGTAAGGAAATTCTTCCAAAAGCTTCTAATTGAGAAATAATAAATTTAAATCTAAGGGATATTCTGATCAAAGACATGACACACCAAAAAAAAACATACCTTTTAGTGCAAAGGTTCAGGAAATTACCAGGAACTCAAATCATTCATTATAACGCGCTCTCCAAGCAGCGCAAGTCACTTGTGGATAAAATACTTGCGTCACATATTCTAATTGTGCTAAAAAATGAAATAATTAGGAAAATGGCATGACGTCATCTTAAGTATTAACGATCTGTTTTGCGCCCAGGGCCCGCCCAGGTATTTACAGAACCTGCGGCAGTGGCAACCGAAAAGAGACAGCCATAGTTCCAGAGGCCTGGGACGAGTCAGGCCGTCACAGGTAGCTTGGCGACCGCGCGACCGCGCGACAGCTCTCTAACTGCAAAACGGGGTGTACGGAACCGTTTCAACTGGTGTAGCTAATTGCTTTTTTCCTTTTAAACACTCAGATAGTGAGGACATTATTCATATTTGGCGGCAATATTGTGATGCTTTCGTAGTGACCTGTGAATTTAACTTTCTCAAAGTTATCTTGGGCGTGGCAAAAATTAAAGGTACGTAGATCCTATTGTCAGTACATATTTTGAAACAACTTCGTATGTCTTGAAAGTACAGACTCCATACAGTATGTGGTCCTTGGTCCGCGCAAGTCCCCGATGCCCTTGGTCCGCGTCTTTTCCGAAAATGATAAAATATTTAGTCAAGAAAAAAAGTACGTTGAATAAAGAAAGATATCGTGATTTACTGATTAGCATTCTTTCATATAACGAAGTTTCAGCCTTCTTGCTGCGGGTGAAGACGCAAAATTAAAGTTTGTTGACAGGTAGGTTAATTTGTCTTTCTTTAAGTTTGGATTTTTGCGGCACCGTAAATTACGTGGTCATGTTTACTTAGCCTGCGAATAACTAAAACGCAACGGGAAGACTTGCCTTTTTGCAGAACAGGTTTTCAGATCAACTTATTTCTGTTGTTGAAAGCATATTGCTGTAGACTCTGAATGTTTTGTTTTAGCGACTCTTGAAAAATATCACCAAATTTCGCTTAGCGGTCCTTGGTCCGCGTCCTATGACCTTGGTTGAATAAAACTTCCCAAAGTAAAAAGCGACGGCCTTTGTTTTCGAAGAATATTTTGAAAGTCGTCCCTATACATGTCTACAAGTTCTCTTTTTTAATACCTCGAGTACATACAGAGTTTTTCGTAATTATTTTCGACCGCGCTAAAAACCGCTCGTCGACGATCGTGTGGGAGACTCGAGGAGACTGTTGTCTGAAGTCTTTGAAAGAAAAGCAGATTATTTTATGCTCACAACATTTTCCGAAAAAAACTTGAGCTTAATTGCATCAAGAAAAGAAAAAAATACAAGAAATACTGTGAAAATCACGTTTTTGTGTGGAAACTATAACATTTTTACGTTTTTATCGTGTTGCCTCCCTGAGACGCGGACCAAAGACCAGCGAAAACGGTCGCCTTTTTGCGAATTCCAAACAAAATATTTATGTCTGGAACTTGAAACTTCAGGATTATCGACAGAAACATAAAAGCTATCTTCAGGGAGTATTTCAGTTCGTTACATGAAGATTCGGGTAAGATATTCAAGTTAATGACTTTTACACGCGGACCAAGGACCACTTACTGTATTGGTATCGGTTTAAAGGACCACCTCTCTTGTTGGCCCGCGTTGCCGCTAGTCCACGTATCGTCTAAACCATCGGTACGGTCTTTACAGAGTGTATAGTATAGTGTCTGCGAAGCAGGAAAAAAACTACTCTGAACACCTATCTCCACTGCAAATGACTCATCAACTGTTTGTTGTATCATGCTCGTAAAAATTGTTAAAAGACATTTACTGATCCTAGTAAGTATTCATTCGCCATTTGCTCCAGCGTATCTCCCGTAGCACCTCTTGTTTGCCCCCTGAAACTTTGCGTAACCCTTGTTTTTTTTTCTTGGGTATTACAGTGGTCCCAAGAGAAATAAAAGACAGTACTTATGCACAATTTTGGGGGACAAACAAGGTGTATTATGGTGAATACAATATTTGTAAGCCCCTGCCTCCCTGCTGTGTATTGCAAAGCCAGAAATCATGCATGGACATTTTTCAACTCTAAAACAAGTTGTTTATTTTCTTTTTTTGTCAGTATTTTAACCAACTCTAAAATGAGTTGAGTGTACAAATGAGTTCTAACAAATTTGCTGCACTAAACACTCGTGAATTTAAAAAGGACTGGGCTTTCTATTATGCAGAATCAACTCCTGCTAAACAATGATAACAATACGTTTTATAACAATGATTATTGACACAAAATAGACACTTACACCTTACTCTTAGAAAATAGCTATAACAGCAATAAAAATGTGTACTCTGAAGCTATTGTTAGTTGGATAGAAAATGGCATTATGCTCATCTTGTTGACTTGTTATTGAAGAACTAGTAAAATTTTGTCGCTTTAAAATAGTACGCCTGTTTTCTTCTTGTGAAATAGGTAACAAATCAAAACAAAAGTTTTTTTTCTAAGTTGGTATCTGAGTACATGCCACTGATCCTTAAAAACAACGAAAACAACAACAAAAACTTACCCCTACAAATATAAAAATCAACCCTCAGTTGAATACTTGTTTAAAAAATCACTCATAAATTACATAAAAAGTAAAAACCCTGGCAGTCTACAGTCCATAACTACCCACTCTAAGTATTTTTAAAGATATTATATATTATTGATATGTTGTTACAAACAATTTTAAAATAGTTAAACCAACCGGTCACCATAAATACTGTTATTTCTAAAGGTATTACAACCTTTGCAGTTTTGTTTCAAATTGAGTCGACACTGAAACGATACCTTTGAAAGGAACTTACACTTAACATTCCAAATGATAGTGTTTGATCCCTTTGAATCAAATATAATAATTTTGGTTTTTAGTTTTTTCTTCTTCTAATCTATGTTGAATTAAATAATAATATTAGGAAAATGTCAAATGTTTGGCTTGAAAATCATGCACTTTTTTGTCGTTATTTAGCTGTTATCATTAATTTGAAAGATATCTTCTCTACTCAACTACAGGTGTATAATATCACATGATTTAACCTGGAAAAATTCTCACTTTTAATGAAACTTGTATGTTTGGATATTTTTTTCTGAATAACCCTTTTGGTTTAAAATGCAACTCTTTTCTGCATGTGCTTTTGTAATCAATTGCCAAAACAGATGTAAGTGAAATTACCAACAACATCTTGTGGCTGCAACACTGTGTAAGGCAGCTGCAAAAGAGTGTGTACCACACAAGACATCATTCCATTACAAACACAGTGTACATTATGTTGCAGATCACAACTATATATTTATTGGTCTATTTGATTGTCTATTTGCCCATTCCATTGGGAAACAAAACTTGCTTGCCCTTACAAAAATGCTGAGGGCCACTTTTCAGTTTACTATAATAAATTGTCAACCACAGTGTAGTAGGAACATGGTTGCAATTCATCAAGTCATATCTTCATATTTTTCTATCCTATAAAAACACAATTTTTTTGACTATCAAGTACTTTAAAATCTTTCACTCTAAAATCAACTTCACTGTTTCCATGGGAATGAAATCATTGGGTTTTCTTTTCTTCTCGTTGTTAGCAAAGTGAATTGTGTTTGTTTTTAGTTTTGTGATGTAGATTTTCTGTGGCATTATATGTTTGTTTCAGTTTTATGAAGCCTGTTCTTAGCTAATGACTGAAATTGTGGAATTTTTTCCTGTTTTGTTGTGAAATTTAACTGTAGGTTGTAAAAACACCTTTTACTATTCATTCTTGAATAGTAGAAAGCCTCTTTACTAGGCACGGTGCAGATGTCAAAGGACAGACCCCCCCCCCCCCCCCCTTCAATAAGTTTTCTAATTCGTCCGTCCCTAGGTCAATTATCACTGTGAAAAGATTAAAAAGACGACATTTTGAGCGTTAACGCTAAAAGTAAAAAGGGGAGTAAGAGGTGAGCCCCTAAATCCTCTTCCTTTCCATCTTCAATGTTTACGGTGGCAAACTCCTGTGTGGCAGGCGACGGTGAGGTTTTTTTGGTATTTTTTTTTTTATATAGAGCGCGCGTGTCCTCGATATTTCTCCTTTCACCCTTAATAAAGCCGGCGCCTGCTACGTAGACTAATGGCAAACTGACTTGATCAACTTGGTGGACGAAACCAAATTTTCGAGGTTTGGTCCGAGAAACTTTAGAATATAAAAGAGGGAAGACATGAACCGGATGACACTGGGATAAACATGAACTAATGGGACGGATTGAGATAACGAAAGAAAACGTAACAGATGGGAAAGCGTGGTAAGTAATACAGGAGGCGACGTTAAAACAATTAAAATGAAACAGGTAGTGAAAGGCATGGGACAACTCGAAACAGAACACATGCCTAGCAAATATAATCGATCAAAACTTTGCATTCGAACAGCAATTAACTTTTCAAACTCATTATGTTGTAACTACGTCACAATGTGATAAAAAATATATTCCCAGTATTACTGGTAAGGAAATTCTTCCAAAAGCTACTAATTGAGAAATAATAAATTTAAATCTAAGGGACATTCTGATCAAAGACATGACACACCAAAAAAAACATACCTTTTAGTGCAAAGGTTCAGGAAATTACCAGGAACTCAAATCATTCATTATAACGCGCTCTCCAAGCAGCACAAGTCACTTGTGGATAAAATACTTGCGTCACATATTCTAATTGTGCTAAAAAATGAAATAATTAGGAAAATGGCATGACGTCATCTTAAGTATTAAAGATCTGTTTTGCGCCCAGGTATTTACAGAACCTGCGGCAGTGGCAACCGAAGAGAGACAGCCATAGCTCCAGAGGCCTGGGACGAGTCAGGCCGTCACAGGCAGCTTGGCGACCGCGCGACCGCTCTCCAACTGCAAAACGGGGCGTACGGAACCGTTTCAACTGGTGTAGCTAATTGTTTTTTTTCCTTTTAAACACTCAGATAGTGAGGACATTATTCATATTTGGCTGCAATATTGTGATGCTTTTGTAGTGACCTGTGAATCTAACTTTCTCAAAGTTGTCTTGGGCGTAGCAAAGGTACAAAAGTAAAAATTAAAGGTACGTAGATCCTATTGTCAGTATATCTTTTGAAACAACTTCGTATGTCTTGAAAGTACAGACTGCATATTGGTATCGGTTTAAAGGACCACCTCTCTTGTTGGCCCGCGTTGCCGCTAGTCCACGCATCGTCTAAACCATTGGTACGGTCTTTACAGAGTGTATAGTATAGTGTCTGCGAAGCAGGAAAAATACTACTCTGAACACCTCTCTCCACTGCAAATGACTCATCAACTGTTTGTTGTATCATGCTCGTAAAATTTGTTAAAAGACATTTACTGACCCTAGTAAGTATTCATTCGCTATTTGCTCCAGCTTATTTCCCATAGCACCTCTTGTTTGCCCCCTGAAACTTTGCGTAACCCTTGTTTTTTTTCCTGGGTATTACAGTGGTCCCAAGAGAAATAAAAGACAGTGCTTATGCACAATTTTGGGGGACAAACAAGGTTTATTATGGTGAATACAATATTTGTAAGCCCCTGCCTCCCTGCTGTGTATTGCAAAGCCAGAAATCATGCATGGACATTTTTCAACTCTAAAACAAGTTGTTTATTTTCTTTTTTTGTCAGTATTTTAACCAACTCTAAAATGAGTTGAGTGTACAAATGAGTTCTAACAAATTTGCTGCACTAAACACTCGTGAATTTAAAAAGGACTGGGCTTTCTATTATGCAGAATCAACTCCTGCTAAACAATGATAACAATACATTTTATAACAATGATTATTGACACAAAATAGACACTTACAACTTACTCTTAGAAAATAGCTATAACAGCAATAGAAATGTGTACTCTGAAGCTATTGTTAGTTGGATAGAAAATGGCATTATGCTCATCTTGTTGACTTGTTATTGAAGAACTAGTAAAATTTTGTCGCTTTAAAATAGTAAGCCTGTTTTCTTCTTGTGAAATAGGTAACAAATCAAAACAAAAGTTTTTTTTCTAAGTTGGTATCTGAGTACATGCCACTGATCCTTAAAAACAACGAAAACAACAACAAAAACTTACCCCTACAAATATAAAAATCAACCCTCAGTTGAATACTTGTTTAAAAAATCACTCATAAATTACATAAAAAGTAAAAACCCTGGCAGTCTACAGTCCATAACTACCCACTCTAAGTATTTTTAAAGATATTATATATTATTGATATGTTGTTACAAATAATTTTAAAATAGTTAAACCAACCGGTCACCATAAATACTGTTATTTCTAAAGGTCTTACAACCTTTGCAGTTTTGTTTCAAATTGAGTCGACACTGAAACGATGCCTTTGAAAGGAACTTACACTTAACATTCCAAATGATAGTGTTTGATCCCTTTGAATCAAATATAATAATTTTGGTTTTTAGTTTTTTCTTCTTCTAATCTATGTTGAATTAAATAATAATATTAGGAAAATGTCAAATGTTTGGCTTGAAAATCATGCACTTTTTTGTCGTTATTTAGCTGTTATCATTAATTTGAAAGATATCTTCTCTACTCAACTACAGGTGTTTAATATCACATGATTTAACCTGGAAAAATGCTCACTTTTAATGAAACTTGTATGTTTGGATATTTTTTTCTGAATAACCCTTTTGGTTTAAAATGAAACTCTTTTCTGCATGTGCTTTTGTAATCAATTGCCAAAACAGATGTAAGTGAAATTACCAACAACATCTTGTGGCTGCAACACTGTGTAAGGCAGCTGCAAAAGAGTGTGTACCACACAAGACATCATTCCATTACAAACACAGTGTACATTATGTTGCAGATCACAACTATATATTTATTGGTCTATTTGATTGTCTATTTGCCCATTCCATTGGGAAACAAAACTTGCTCGCCCTTACAAAAATGCTGAGGGCCAGTTTTCAGTTTACTATAATAAATTGTCAACCACAGTGTAGTAGGAACATGGTTGCAATTCATCAAGTCATATCTTCATATTTTTCTATCCTATAAAAACGTAATTTTTTTGACTATCAAGTACTTTAAAATCTTTCACTCTAAAATCAACTTCACTGTTTCCATGGGAATGAAATCATTGGGTTTTCTTTTCTTCTTGTTGTTAGCAAAGTGAATTGTGTTTGTTTTTAGTTTTGTGATGTAGATTTTCTGTGGCATTATATGTTTGTTTCAGTTTTATGAAGCCTGTTCTTAGCTAATGACTGAAATTGTGGAATTTTTTCCTGTTTTGTTGTGAAATTTAACTGTAGGTTGTAAAAACACCTTTTACTATTCATTCTTGAATAGTAGAAAGCCTCTTTACTAGGCACGGTGCAGATGTCAAAGGACAGGACTTGAGTTAATCTTTACTGGTACATGACTGCCTTGTGTTACATGTATGCCTGATGATGTTTTACACAACTGTCTCTTTACCAACAACAACAACTTTCTCTTGAGGGAGTGGAGGAGGTTGTTGAGGCTCATGAGCAATATGCTGGGGAATGCAGGCTATGCTACCACATTCACTAGCAGCAACCTCTTTTGGCATGTCCATGTATCTTCTCACCAGTGAAAACACAGAACTGCTTAGCTCTCCCTTCAGTTGAAGTATCCGACTTCTTCTTACATTTATGGTGTCCACTGACACCAGACATGTCTCTCGCACCGTTGAAATACTATTTGTGCTGACACCGAGAGTGTTTCTGTTATTGTTGATACTGAGAGTTGAGAGATGACCATTGCTTTCCATGCTGTAAAATGACACTGGTCTGCCGGGATCATCTTCTGGTTCCTCGATAATAACATCTGGAACCCCAGGGTAATAACCACTATTTCCTTGTTTTTCCATTTCAGCAAAGGCCAATTTTTCATCAAAGTATGTTGGCTTTTTGTCAAATCCACTTTCCTCTGCAAGCACAACTCTGCACTTTTTGTCCTCTTGTCTATCTGGCATGAGAAATGGGATTCCAAACATCAAACAAGCAGCAGCTGTGGGGACTGCTCCAGAGATGTAGAATGCCACTTGATAGGACATGGTATATCTGTAGATAAGTCCTACAAAGGAGAAAAAAAATATATCAGAGCCAGCTACATCTATCTATAAAAAATAAGAATTGCTGCAAGAAACCCTATTTATAGCCTGAATTTCAGACATTCCTTCAAGTCGCATACTGTTCTCAGGAAGGTCCCTTAGAGGAGTATGGAATGTCCGAAATCCAGGCTACTCTATCAGGGCTGTGTTCTAGCAGAGCCCAGTGGCTCCTGGTTCCCAACGTTTGTTCTTGGGTGGCTAGAAAATCAAAGTTTTTCCATACAAATCATGCTCATATGCGAGGCAACCAAGGTTCCACAGTTTATGAGCACTGGGCTCCCTTTAATTTTCTTTAGAACACAGCCTTGGGCTATTTAGAGTATATATATTTTTGTAGCCCTTTTTCATGTGTTTTGCAGTGTCCAGTGTCATGCAACGTCATAGAAAACTGCGAGATGATATCTTGAGAGTGATATGTGCAGTTAAACCTTCATTGAGAAGGCATCATGTTTTGGTCAGTCAATAACGTATTTAACCATTGCTGTCTCCATTTTTCCCCACTTACCAGCAAGTATTGGTCCCACAGTTAGAGGCAACGATTTTAGAGCGAACAAAACACCAACTCCATGAGCCATCTTGTCTCGTCCAACAATATCACCGGTCAGGACAGGAGCCAAAAGCACATAGCACCCCTCAAAGAAGCCAAATGCGGTGGCATAGCATATAAGACCAGGGTATGAGGTTAAAACAGGACACAAGGTGTTACTGATGCCAATCATTAAGAAAGAGATCTGATAAAGATACAGCCTGTTTACTCTGGGGTGATCAGCTATTCGGCCGAAGAGGAGACGTCCAAGGGTGGATGCAATGGACATGATACCTATGAGTAGTGTGGCCTTGAATGGTTCGATGCCTTCTTCAATGGCAAGGCTTACCTTAAGGAAGTCAGAGAAACAAAATTTTAATCTTTTTGCTACGATATACATTATTAAGTCTGAGTAGAATGCTACGGTTGCACCTCCCGCAAGCAAGTCCCACCCAAATACAAAAAGTCAGTTGCCGCTTAAAGGAAGTAGTCACTTATGAGAGTTAAACTGCAGAAGGTGTTTAATGAAGAGAAGTGCAGACACATCTACTGGTTGGAGTGAATGTATTGCATCCAATTTCTAAGTCACAATATAGGTGGATCCATGCTGCTTTTAATACTCTGAGTAGTGTAGCACTTACAGTGGATACAGAGATCAGACCATTGTATCAGGTGGTCGATTGGAAGCAGTTATTAAAAACAATGGAAAATTCTTAAACCATTGTCCTAAAAAGGGGCTGCTGTTGCTTAAGAGAAGGTGGTCATTTTCTGGAGGTTTCAACTATAATAAGGCTTTGAATAGGGAAATATTTTTTGGATGACTGATCACTTATGGGAGGTGGATGCACATAGAGGTTCAACAGTATTCTGTTTTAGACAAAGAAAGTTTGTAATATTTGATGATTTACAAATCAGCCCAAGAAACCTGCAGAAATTATTCTTCCATCCTGGAAATGAAAGCTTTCACAAGCTGAACTCTTTTTTGGTGATAATGTTTATCGTGATTAACAGGCTAGTTTCCTTGTTTGAGTCTGTGTATAAAATACAGTTGTACAGTACTTACTGGGGTTTAAGGTAATCAACTTACCAGATGTACAAATGGTACAAAATAACCAAGCATCCAAACTGCAAGCGCAAAACACCAAAGGATGTACGCTTTGTTTTTGAACAGTTCTTTGAAACTCTTCAGGATAGCAAACCTTGATTTTTTCTCTCTTTCCGTGGGTTCTTTCTTTACATTAAGGAATCCTGTGTTTATAGGTCTATACACAACAGCACAGAGAACAACACAGGCTAACATGCCTGCAGAGATTCTCATTGTGTTCCTCATACCAAAGTGTTTTATTAACTTCTGTAATACAGGTCCCATGCACAGGGAACCTACTCCGCTTCCAGAGGAAGTGATCCCATTGGCTAAGGAAAGACGCTTTGAGAAGTATTGTCCCAGGATGACGACTGATGGAAAATAGCACATGCTTGCTCCAACGCCAAATAGAAAACCATATGTCAAGTCCATAACATATATGTTGGGTGAGATGGACCCAAGAAGGCAGCCACTTGCTGCGATGATACAGCCAATCATTGTTGTCCCACGGCAGCCCAGCTTTTGGCACAAGCTTGTTGCCAAGGGTCCAAGTAAGAACATCAGGCCATACGTCAGGGATCCCACCACAGCTGGGAAGGAACAACACAGGTTAGTCACATACAAGCTGAACTTCATGACATGGCTTGACTCCAAGTAGTTTGTGAACAAAGATGTGTTTCCAGCTCTGGACAGCCAGAAATACATCTATTCACCAATGTTCTTATGAGGATTTTTACGTGGAGAGCCTCAGTGCCCAGCAGTAAAGTAAGGGGGAAATGTTGTCCGTATCCCAGTTATGTCAAAAACCAAACAGAGCCCACTCTCCAAATGGTCAGTAGTGGGTACTCCGTGTAACCCTATGAAGGTGGTATCATGCACCAACTGCTCACCAATATGGTTGACCAGCGACTACTAAACACCTCAGTTTAAAACAATATGTGTATTCACTTCTAAGCATCTTCATGGGCCATATGTTATCATTAGGACAAATATTTTTAGCTTATTTTCAATAAATTTTTTACTCCAACGGAGTAAGTTGCCATGGAGAGGTGATTATCAATTCTAAGGAGCTCTGAAATAATATCTGAGTCATCTTTGCAATGTACAAAATCATCCTAAAATTGAAGAAATGAACTTCAAAATATTTAATTGTTAAAAAAAAAGATCCCTTAAGAGGTGTTAAGACCTGCATATCTGGGGTCAATTTGATAAAACTTTTCCAAGTGTAGCCAATGTTTTGGAGTCTGAAAACAATAGCTACACTTGTAAAAGTTTTATTAAATAAATGACCCCTAGGTACTATCTTGAGGAGACAATATTGTTATTACAACTTCCCATGACTACAATTACAACCTCCCATGACTACAATTACAACTTCCCATGACTACAGTCACACTTTTTCATTGAATTTGACCCATGAACCTTATCTAATTTTTTCCCCAAATTTCTAAGCATAGTATCACCTTTCTTGGAGATTATTTCCTCTGCTTATTTTGTATTCCTATATCATTTTACCTAAATATCCGTTTGGCCCGGCCTCACTGGTGGTCTCAAAGATATCACTAACTTTTTTCTAAATGTACCAAAAGGGTTTTAGCGATAAATGTTTGATAATCATATCCCGACTTAGCCCATGTGTAATGACCTCTTTGACGATGAAGGTTGAAAAAAATTGAGAGGACTGGAATTAATACGTGTCAGTGAATTTACAGATTTCCTTTAAACGTTTCATGACATTTTTGCGTTCCTAAGATTTCGTCTACTCCCCAGTTGAGAAAGCTAAGCTAATGAATGGCTAGAAACCGCTGAAAAAGAAAATTTGTGGTGAATAAGAATAATCGTGGCAAAGAATTATCAAGTTGGATTTGAAAGAGCCCTTGATGTAAGAAAACTTGACAGGATGTATTTGGGCAGTGGCCAAAAGAAACTCCTTCGCTTTTTATGGTTTCCCTCACGGGAAGTCGTTTATAAAGAAGTAGTATACAAAACTGTTTTCAAACAACACTGAGAAACCACATAATTGATTGAGTCTAACAAAACCAACCTAGGGTATGTTGACACCATGACGTTGTTTAACAGTATTTAAAACGCAGCATTAAACTTTAACTGGACTTGAAAAGCTGTTTTTTGACCATAAAGGAGACAAAAAACAACGCTGTGGTTTTCAAAAAGAGACATCGAAGTTTCAAACAATATCGTCTCAAATCCATGTAAACTTTGCATGAACAGATAAGAAATACTCCTCAAACGTTATGTAAGGTAATCCTTCTCAAATATAAGACAAGTATCTATTGGTATGCAGACAAATTGCACTTGTATTCTGATAAAAATGGTCATACAGTACAATGAATTTCAATGTTAAATCCGTTCAAGCTTGAGAGCTCTAGCTTCTTGTAAAACCGGCCATTCAAATATTTTTTTGGACAAGGTAAAAATAAAACGATTCGTTTGATTGATCGTTATGACTGCAACAAAACATGTTCTGTGTTGACTCAAGTCTAGATCTTGAGTCACGTTTGCTGGATCCTACAGCATTCTTATCTTCATAGGAAGTAAACAGCTTTTTGTTTTGCCGAATGCAATGACAGCAATAAAACGAAAGCGTTCGCGTCGTCGGAATATTTTTGGTTTGTGGGCCACACATAGATGCCAACAAATCGTTGGGATGCACTGTGCATGTGCGGACCACCAGATTCTAAACAAACAAGCCCTCAAGACATTTTTTTGGCCACATTACTCATGATAAACTGCATAATTTCACTAAATCTTAGTATTCTGAAAAGTGTTTATTACACTTTAAGGGAAAACAATCGTTTTGTGAGAGAAATAACTTCATGTTTTTCAAATGCGATTGGCGTATGCCCGCGTTGTAGCACCGCAGATAGGGAGCTTAAGCAACGACTACGGGGACGTCAGCAAGAACGGCAAAACAGGAATAGGTTTAGATTGGCAAAACAACAGCTCTGCACGTGCATCACGCTTTTTTTTACATTACTTTGCCGTCACTGCGCGACTACGACGTGAAAATGCCTAATTTCACGTTTTGTGGAGGACGTGAACACAAAACAACGACTTTGTTTTTCTTTTCCTGAACTTCGTTACCCTCTTTCAGAATTTAACTCCAGAAAAAATTGCCAGCATTTGACGAATTGAACGAGATGGAATTTGCGCGATGAAGTTTGAAGCAGCGCGACTTTACTTTGTACGTGACGTTTTCGTAGCCGTGGCCGTCGTTGCATTTGTTGCTTAAGCTCCCTAAACACGCACACTAAACGCGCGTCTTTCACGCAGAAAAATATACAGTTTGGTATTCATAGCGGCGCTTTACACCGTCTAGGAGAGAAGCTGAAGTATATGAATGGTTGGTTTGCTAGCTTCTGATTTTGATTATTAAAGAGATGTTAACATGAATCTATTTAGGGCAATGATTATGGTGCAAATATATATAACCGTGACACGCCTACAAATTATCTTCGTCGACCGAGGAAGAGTTAACACGGCAGACAAAAAATTTTTAGATCTGTTTCTGACAGAATGGGTTTGTATTGCCAGCCGAGTTTGTAAGCTTTTAAATACCATTGTAAAACGAACAATACGGGATGTATTAAGAGAGAATTAATGCGTCAAAAAGACAATTCCGTTCAATTTATCCTTTCTGGGTGTTTCTAGTATGTTTTCTTCTAGAACGATTTCAATCCCCGGGAAACTAAAATAATTATATTCGATCAAAGTATTTCGTGCAATTAATGGTTTATTTCTCCACGTAAAGAGGAAATCCGCGTTTCCGATATGAGAAAGTATTCTGCTCAGCTACGTTGATATGTTAAACTTTGCTTGTTTTTATAACTTCTGAGTCAATAAACGTAACAAATACATCCTTAATCTCTGGCGTGGTTTCCTTTTTTCGTGCTCAAAATTTCTGGTGTACATCTCCAGCAGTGATTTTGCGTCATGAAAATTGCGAAAGAGACCAGCAGTACTGGTATTAGAAGACGCGTTACATTATTTACAGTCTAACCTGAAACTATTCCTGTTGAGATTCGCTTGCGTTTCAGCTTTTGCGCGAAAACTTGGAGCGAAAAAAAAAATGCTGAGCTTCTTGGAGCGAGAGCGCATTAACTCGATCCTCTTGTTACGCAGGCTAGCTTTACTCCGAGGGAACAAATTTTTTAAATTGTGGTGGGGAAATTAAAGTGGGGTTGAAAAAGGTACTTCATTTACTCTTGCTGGTAAATTTTGTCCGATGGCATCAGACCTACTAGAATGATATTATTTATAGAAATACTATCTTTTTTGATCCAACACATGTTAATACAGATAAACCCTTAGTTTAATCCCCGAATGTTTAATTTTGTCTCATATTCCTTTCTTAGCTGACATCGCTATGATTTAAAAAGATACACGATATTTTGCAGCTTATGGGGGTACTCAAACATGAGATCATTTCCAGTTCCCATGTAAATATTCCTTGTGTGATGACAAAGGTCTTGTCCGAAAAAGTTATATACCGGGTTATTTTTCTGGACATGTGATAAAAATTTTATGCGATGAATTTAATTGCATACAAAACTAACACGGCCAAATTTGCATGCATAGGAAACTCAACGGAGTTAAAAAAACGATAATTTTTTCCCGTACTTTCTATGTGATGTTCACGTACGTTGTCAGGGTAAAACAAGTAAGTCATAGAAAGAGCATATCCTTAAAGAACGAATTTGGGATCTTATTTGCTCAAAACAGTCACACAATACCAGTATTGTTTTTCATCTCGTAATGACATAAAAACCTTAAAATGCAAATTTACCCTGTCAAACACACCACAATAGATATGTTTACAACAGTTTTGTGACAACAAGCCTGACAACTGAACGTTTTGAAGGTAGGAAAGCAACTTCGATAATTAAAACTAGGAATTTTTGGTCTATATTTTAACTATAAGGACAAAAACTGGGGGTGTGCTTGGAGGACTGGCTGCTAGTTGATAATGGAAAACCCCTAAAAAACGTGCAGTTAATGCTAACATTTCTATTGGCTTAAAAGCCAGAAAAACCGGTTTTTTTGTGACATTTCCTGTCACATGTGACGTTGAGGTGAGAACTAGAAATCAATCGAAGAACAAAATTTTCACCGAGCTGCTTGAAGGTTGCCTGCGTCAAGAAAAATTTTGAAATAAGGTAGCATTCGTGCAATGCAGTTTTCAGCTTTCTTAATTAACGAATTAAGGCAATCAACGATTGCCCAAACAAGCGCAATCACTCTCACAACCGATGCACAAAGAAAAAAATAGAATTATATAATGCCATCCACGCGCACAGTTCGCCTCGGAAGTTTGCTTTCCGCTTTAAACCGCGAACTACAGCAAAGCGATTATTGTTTTTGTTCCAGTAAAAGAAAAAAAAAAACAGACAAAAACAGCTGAGATCGGTTGAAAAGTAAACTTTGGCTTTTTGAAAGCCGGTATATAGGAGCTGAGGTTGGCGATTTAAACCTTTCAGCACGACGGGATGAAAATTGCAACACTCTCTATCTCGAAGCAGTAATCGCAGATTTTAAAACAACTCAACGTGCTCAAATCTCCGAAATTTAGGAAGATGATATCAATTGATATTCAACGAAAGAAAACAGCAGCAAATCATAATGGTTGCTTTAAGAACTCATTTGCATGTTGTTTTTGTCCTAAGCGGTATGATTAATGAAGCGAGATAAAAAAAATTTTTGTTACCTGCTTCATCTTTTCCAATGTTTTTGAACTCCTTGAGCAATTCCACGTAAATTACTCCGAAGTTGTTCATCGTGCCTAAGACGATAAACTGCGTGGTAAATGTAGCCATGCACACAAACCACCCCCAACCTCCATCGGGAAAAGGAACGATTGCTTCAGGTTTTTTATCCATCGGTTTTTTCTTGCAGCACAGCATTGTGGCGATTTTTGTGTCTTTTGTTTGGGTTCGATAACGTCCACACGTTGGAGCTATTTCGTGGGGTTTTCTCTTAGCGTGTAGCAGTGACTAGCTTTGGAAAAACCTGGACTTGATGGAACATGTAACCTTGACCCGGGTTGGAGTCGAGTGACAGAAAATTTTTTGGTTGATTGAAATCTGCTAGTTGCTCAGCCGGGTTCTTTATTTAGTTATGTGACGTATGTTTTATCAAGCCGTCATTTCCTGGCGCTGATTGGCCCATTCCACATGTTTACCACAAAATTTACCCACAATTCTGATTACATGTGACTTCTCCTTACAGTACAAACACAAAGAAAATATAATGCTTCTGGCACCGCGTGACGAAGCTCTCAGGTGACTTGTAAAAATTAACATCACAAAATATGTTTTCATTTAGTTAGTTGTTGTTTCCAATCCATCTTGCCCGATAGTTTGCCAAAGGAACTCATAAGACCCTTCACCAGGACCTTCTAGAGGTTAAGAAAAAAATTAGAACGCGTTTTTTGCCGCTTGATATCGTTCCTTCGTTTCCGGCACGTGGGCAGATGTCAGAGCGACCTTTGGTCACGGGCGGCGTTGATGTTAGCTGATTTGAAAGAAAGGAGGTTCTTTGTGCAGCGAAAAAATACACCCTTTATTTCTGACATGTTTGAGCCTTTTTTTTTTCTCGAGAATTCAAACTTGGTATTATTACGTTCAATTTTTTTTTTACTTTGATCTAGAAGCACGTTTCCGGGCTTTAAGGGTGACGTTAGGTGCTGAATGATCGATTATTGATCTGTGAAGTGGGGTTAAATGACAGAGTATCCAAAGCAGAATTTATTCAGCGAAAAGCCGGCATTTTGCACGCACAAATGAAAAAGACACTTCGCATCGGCTAGGTGATGTTTTTGGTTTTCACATGTTGACATAAAATGAGGAAAACTTTTTTCTTCAGCAGATTATATTTTTGTTTCGCGATATTGAGCTTGTCTGGGGTTTATTCACCCACTGAGAATCTAAGGTGAGCCCATGAATTTGTTCAGTCGTGTCAAAACCCAGAGGATCGAAGATCAGTGCCTTTTTGGTGTCCGACTACTTTTTTTTTACATTTTTGTTGCTTTTGGCACGAACCGAAGATCGAGAGCTTTTAGCTTGTTTACTTTGTATGATCTCAAGTACTTGAAATTTGCCCGGGTTTAGAGGTACGAACTGAAAACAATCGAAGGTACGGTCACCAAATTTTTGGGTCACAGAATGTTCTGTGTTCCAAAAAAAAAGGCGATAGGAGGAAAGAACGTGGAAGTGCCCTGCCGAGGCTTCACGGTACTGACTTTCCCTGTGACTTGCTTGATTTAACTTTTTGTGGGAAAACAAAAGAAAAATAATATGCGATCAACTATCCATGCTTGGGTAATTTTCTTTCTTTATCTGTGACAAGGCGGATTTGGTCTTGTGATCTGTGTGTGACAGTCTTTTATATTACCCCCTCATCAGCCGCCGCCCAATTTTCAACCTCTGCGCTCTAAACCATCACCTCCAGATTTAGAGAGAACCATTTCTGATTTCATACAATTTGTTACTTGAAATAGACCTGAATCGCTTACAGAATGTTATTGACCTTGACAAGCAAATTCTTTCATGCCCTCAGGTACTGTTGATCGCTGTGATCTTTTTTTGCCGTAGCCTGCGTAGCAATAGCAGGCGAACAGTAGACGCATTTCCGGTCGTCTCTTCTCTCCCTCCGAAAAAAAATGCGACGACCGAAAATGTGTCTGCTGTTCGCAGGCTAGCGTAGCAAGCGTTTCCGCGGGAGTTCGTCGCGTCCCCCTCTAACTTTCGCGCAATAACTCGATTAGAAACGCTTGCCACGCAGGCTATTTTTGCCGGCAAGTGATGCACTGTTTGATGGTTATCATCTGAAATAAAGGCTACACGCTGAGCTCGGCTAAGCCATGTAGCTATTGTAGAATTCCGACTAGCATATTGAAACAGCGATTTAAGAATGCTGAAATTGCGAAAAACGATAAATTGATGAGTTGAAATTGCGGCTTCTGTACGAGTCAGAGATGATCAGGAAAGAGCTCCGCCCGGATGGGGAGGAGTACTCCTGGGAATTCTTGGTCGGGGTGTGCCGCCGGTTCTCCAGACCAGACCAGACCTCTAAAACCCAAACCCGTTATCAGACTAGACCTTGCCATTAGGCAGAAATTATGTCATCATCTAAGAGATTAGAGCGCAAACAACAAATTTCGTCCAATGCATTCGCGTATTTCTACTTCGTTCTTATTCATATGGAATTGAGACGACTGCTTATCTCCTGAGTTGACTGGCGAGAGCGCCAGAACAGTAGCTACAGAGTACTTGCCGCGAAAAGCTCTTGGTCAGTCGTAAAAGCGCGCGACAGTCTGCTCGGCCCTTACTACTGGTCAGAGCCATCAAGGGAATATACTTTACATAATAAAAACTCGTATATTCCCAAGTGTTCTTGTTCTCGTCGATTACATCAGTGAAAGATAAAAGTCGTGTTGCTTGGTTTACCTTAGAGAACCTGAATGAACTTCAGTAGTAAGACCATTAGCTACCATTTAGACAGGGAGTACTCCCCCGGAAAGCTTTCTGGTTTCCTACCGTTAGTTCGTATGTCCTTAGCCTGTGTACAGACGCCCCCCCCCCCTCCCCTCACAGACGTCTCTCTCCCGATTTTTTCTGAGGGAAGGGGGGCATCTGTACTAAGGCTAGTATGTTCTCTTCCTCTAGCCCGCGTAGAAGGTGTCGAAAAGGGTAGGGTTAGGGAGGAAGGGGAGAAGGCAGGGGGATTGGGGACGTCCCCTTTGCTGTCAAGTAGCATGGCGGGGGGGGGGGGGCGGGTCTGGGGGCAAGCTCCCTTTGGCCGGACAGGGCCCCTCAGGGGGCTTGCTCCCGGGCTAAGGGGGGACAGCCTGGAGCCCGG